TATTTGACCGGTCGATTACAGTAACAAGAATTAGAGAAGTCAAGTTTGAAGTAATTCCTGAAAATGGGCAAGAAGAAACCAGGAGTTTGGGTTCCAAGAAAATTTTAGTTTTTTTGCTGAAACAAAAACTGGTGGTGGAGATGGTAGTTTTATTTTCATTTTTATTTTTTTGAAGTATAAGGAGAAATTTTTTTTGGGAGTAAAACGATGTTGAGAAATATGGCGATTTTTTCTCCACTTCTCCGACTTTATCATCCTCCTCGTTGACGTTCTTGTAAATTGAGAGTGTATTCACCGGTGTAGTTTTTTTTCAATTTTCGTTTTGGTTTGTTTGTTTGCTAAAACTGGAAGAAGCGTGTTTTTCTGTAAAAATTCGTCGTTTTTTTTTATTATCATTGTTTGCTTGGTATTTTTTAACGTTTTTTTTTGTGTGCAACGAAATTTATCTGAAGGAGGAGAAGGGAGAGAAGAGGAGGAGTTAGAAATAGGGAAAAAAAATTTGAATCTCAGCAGGTGAATTTGTAACATTTTTTTCTAGTGCCAAGATCCTTGGTGTTTGTTTTTTTTCCTTTCAAAATTATACAATTACCTAAATAGTTTTGATAGTGACGACGATAGAGATGTGGTAGTGATAATGGTATACTTGCTATATTTGTCGTATTTTTTCTAACAGTAAGGCTGGATAAAAAGAATTTTTTTTATCATGTTTCTGCAACTGTGTTTGCAAAATTTTATTGCAAACATAGTTGATTTAGTTGCAAATTTTTCATAAAAATTTTTTTTGCTATGCTGAAAGAGTTGCGATTATTTATATAAGGAGGAGGAATGGAAGAAAAAAAAAAGAAATGCTGAAGTGTATGTGAAAACTGGAAGAATTTACTGTGGAAGAAGAACAGGAGAAAGGAAAAGAAGTAATCTTTTTGGCAGAAACTGTTCTGATATTTCTAGTTTTTGGCACATTTGTTCCAACTACTTTTCGTCTGCAGGAGTTTCAGTTTTTTTGGGGGGGGTGTTATCATTTTTGCTACCATTCAGTTGCATTCTTGATTTTGTTTTAACAATCACTGTTTCTGTGTTTCTGCTGCTTGGACGTATTTGAAATCTGAATGGTTATAGCGATCAGGAGCAAAAGGTTATAGTCAGAGAGGTTGATTGGAAGGCCAAGAGAAGGAGAAAAAACATGTTTTATATATATTTTTTTGTTGTTGTTGTTTGCAATGTTTTTTGTTTTTTTTTTTTTCTTTTTTTTCTTTGTACCAATTTACTTAATTAATATGGGCTTAAGATGGTAAAAGAATAAGCGAGGAGCAAGGCGGGCGAGATGGTAGAGGAGAATGGAGGAGGAAACAAAGCAGGAAGGAGGGAATGGGGAGGAGGGGGGGTTGAGCAGCGGAGTTGGTGAGCATTTTTGTAAAACTTTTATATTTTCCGGGCAACAAATGGTGCCAAAGTTTGATTTTGAACGATAAGAACAATATTTTCACAAAAGTCTTGAACTAAATTTTTTTTGCTGTTGTTGTTTCATTATACGTCCCACGCTCACAGCAGTCGTCAATCAGCAACATCATCTTTTTCGTAAAATACATACCGACGATACTGCTGTATTTTGAACGCCTTTTGAACTCCGTCATCTCGTTCAGTGCTTCTTCTTCTACATCGTCTTCTCGCTGTTGGTATTTCAAAAGCTACCGTAGTAATGCTGCTGTTGCCAGTGCTGCTCAGTTGCTGGTTTATTCTCCGCGGTCAGCAACGGCAACAGCGGTAACCAATCTTCACCATGTATCAGCGGTTGCAACCTCGATATTTCTTGGCACTGTTGTTCTAAATTTGTTCCTTCTTTTTTTATTTTTTCTCATTTCCCACCTAATAAGGATCTAAGTAGACACTACTGTCAAAATCTGTAACATATGTTTGTCTTTCTGCATGTGGCAGAGGAAATAGTAGTGTCAGTAATAGTGAGCGACTGTTGTATAGCTTACGAAACCGTTAATTTTGACCTATAAAGAGGATTCATTGTAGGATTTTTAGTATTTTTATTAGCGCTTACTGAATCTCGTAAAAATTTTTTAACAAAATTTTAAATATTCTCATGAGTTGCATTTTTTTTTTTTTTGCAGCAACAACAACAACAATAAAACAATAATAGCAGTATATCTGTCGCCATATTGTATCAGTCGGCGAAGTGAAATTTCCCAAAAATATTGCCTTTTCTTTTTATATGTCACCTATGCTTTTTTCGTTGTTTGAACTGTTGATAATCGTAATCGACATCTAACATTTGCTCCAAATACACTGATTTTCAGTTGTTTGATAAAGCTACAACAATAGTGCGAAAATTTAAAAGATTTTATACGTTAATTGTATGCGGAAAGGATGGAAGCTGGGTTGTTGTTGCTTTATAATTTTTTTTTTTTGTTTATTTGGTTTTGTTGGTCTTATGTTTGAAATAAGTGTTTCGAGTATTTTACTGAAATAACATGAGTCATCATTTTTTAAGGAAACGAACAGTTTTGAAGGTTTTATATCTTTTCCCCCTCCTTCCAAAAAAAAAAAAAAAAAACCGTTCTTCCGAACGACAGTATTGTTTGATTTTTTGAGACTTTGAATAAATTTAATGACGCTTTTTGTGCAGTTTTAAGTAATACTAGTGGTTTCTTTATGTGTTCCGTAAGGTTCGTAAATTAGTGTTTTTTTTTTTCGTTGTAGTTACAGAAAAATTTTTTATGTTTTAATTTGCAAAAAAAAAAAAAAAAAACGAAGAGAGATATTCTCGTTTTTACTATTTTTAAAGAATTTGTTCATATTTCAAAATAAATTTTTTTATTTTTTCATTTTTAATTCTGAAACAAGGAGCATTTTCTCGGCTTTACAATAAATGTTGTATTTTTGTATTTATGTATAATTGTATGTGTGTTCGGGTATGTGCTGTGTTTTTGCGTCTCTTTTGTACGTATTGCATATTGTGTGTGTGTGTGTGTGTATTTGAATGTCTGTGTCCTTACTATATTTGTTTTTAACGACCAATTTTATTACATTATTTTTGTTGCTAAAAGGAAACTTTGGAATTGACGATTTGATTAAATAAAATAAAAATTATTCTCGACTTTATGGTCCACTAATTTTTCCGAATGCCATGGTGTTCTGTTTGATTGTTGTTGTTGTTGTTGTTGTTCTTGTTGTCGCTGTTGTTGTTGCTGCTGCTGATGCTGATGCTGATGCTGCCGTTGTTGTTCAACCTGTTCTCATCTTCCAAAAAAAAAAAAAAACAGTCCAAGTCATTTTATTCAGTTACACTTCCCTTCTGCAAAATTTTGTTTGAAAAATAAATAAATAAAAATAAAAGAGTGATTTGAATAAAGTGAATTTTTTTTTTTCACTGTTTTTTTATATTTAAATTCTAAGTTTATTAAAAGTGATCAGTTATTATGCTTGTTTTTTTTCCTTTAACTGCCATTTGCAATAATTTTTTTTTTTTTGTTCTAACTTAGTGCTTTTTTTTGTGTTTTTTTTCTTTTGTCTTTTTTTTTCTTGTTTAGAGAGGAAGGGAGGGAGATGAGATAGTTTTTGTACGTTTATAGAAAAAAAAAATGTAGAGGAAAAAGGGGATGATTAACGAGAAATGGAAGTAGTGGAAGAAGGTGAAAAAGTTATTCCTTTAAAATGTTATAGGCATTTGGTGAGTTAGTTGATCGGTTGCCGTATATTTGAATAATTTAAATCAAGGTCAAAACTATCTACCCATCTATCCACCCATCTGTCCATCCATCCAGTCTACCATCTAATCGTTTATCCACCCATTCATCCATTTATCCATCCATTTGTCTATCTATCTATCTATCGATCTATCTATCTACCTATCTATCTATCTATCTACCTATCTATCTATCTATCTATCTGTCTATCTACCTCCCTGTCTGTCTGTTGCCTATCTGTCTATCTACCTACCTATCAGTCTATCTATCTATCTATCTATCTATCTATCTATCTATCTATCTATCTGTCTATCTATTTATCTACCTACCTTTCTGCTTGTCTATATATTTACCTATCTGTTTATCTATCTATCTGTCTATCTATCTATCTATTTATCTATCTTTTTGTCTACCTCTTTCCACTCATTTATTTTGCTCTCCGCCTACCAGTTTTGCGTTATTCTTTTTAGCCACTTTTTTTTGCTTTTTTTGTTAGATTGAATATTTGGCTAGGTTAGTCCTTCTTTTTGTTTGATGATTGGTTGAATGATTGAAGGATTTATTTGACACATTATAAATCTTTCTTTTGTGATGCCTATACCTTGAAAAACTTTTCATCTTTTTTTTTTTTACTTTTTTTTCTTTCTGTTTTCATCATCACTATGAAAAGCCTTCTTGGACAATTTTGTTTAGTTGGTTGATTGCTTGGTTGGTTTGCTGATTATTGGCAACTGAAGGATAGACCAACCAACTGTGATTGAACACCGGTAAGAGGTTGGCGTCTTTACAGTTGCCGATCGTTGGAAGTGGCTGCTGTTAGCGATTATTTTTGAAAAAAAAAACTGATTGTACGTATTGAACCTTTTGGGGCATAGCTGCTGAAATACAGCTTGAAATTTAAACACTTCAGATAGAGATTTCATGTATTTTATAACTCATTTCGTCGTGTATCATTGCGAGTTTTTTCCCTTACATAATGAATTTCAAGATTTTCCAGTTTTATTTTATTTTTTATTTATTTATTTTTTTCTGGTGATCTGTGAATTTCTGTTTTTCTATGCTTTTTTTTTCGTTTTGCTTTGCATTTATTTGCTCTCACATATTATAATACTGTGAGGGTATGATGACGATGATTTCGGTAATTTCGCTTTCTTTTCGATCAATTTCCATTTCTAACCATGATTTTCTGCATTTTTTACAGTTGTTTTTTGTTTTCTTTTTTGGTTGGCAGAAACAACGAAGATACGTTAGCGCTTTCGGATCTCAGAAGCATAGAACTTTAGCTTTTTTCGGTCTAGAAAACCGAGAATGGGCGGTTCGACAATGAAGACAGCAAAAGTTTGGAAATATTTTGATCAACTTCCCTCTGAAGAACAAGCTGCTGAATGTCGTATTTGCTGTAAGCGTATTAAAGCCACAAATAGCAGGTTGGTTAAATATAGAATTTTTTTTCAAAATTTGATGCTTTTGTTCAT